ATGCCTAAGGCCCTGGGTTCAATCCTCAGCAGCATGGTAGCACATTCCTGCAATCCCAGGACTTGGGAGACTGAGGCAGGAGAACTGCAGTGAGCTGAGGCCAACCTGGGCTACATAGAGAGTTCAGGACCAGCCTGAACTGCACGGCAAGAACTCATCTCAAAAACAACAAAAAAGTCATATTCATAAATGTGGTTCAAAAGTAGAATAGTTCCTTACCATTTGTGAGACCTCTGTTTTAATCCCCAGGACCACAAATTGAAAAACACAGCAATAACAACAACCTTGCCTATTGGGTGTGGTGGCACATGCCTGTAATGCCAGCTCCATATGTCTGAGGATCTGATCAGGCTGGTGATACAATGCTTAAACACATTGTTTTGTTTTTAACTCCACAGAACTTTGAAGAAAGCTCCTATATACTGATTTGAATAGCTCTCCAAGATACACTGTCAAAGAAAAAAAAAAAAGCTAATGGGCAAACTATTACAGAATGCTAATAAACTGGGCCTGGTGGCACACACAGGAGGATTGTTGAGAGTTCAAGACCAGAACAGGCTACAAAGTGAGTTCAAGGGTAGCCTGAACTGCATAGTGAGACCTGTCTCAAAAAGACAAGAATAAATAAAAATAAAAAATAAAGAACACTACTATAAAAAATAAAGAATGCAAAAATAAATAAATAAAATAAAGAATGCAAGATGTGGCGATGCACATCTGTAATCTAATCACTCAAAGGCTGAAACAGGAGGATTCCCTATGAGGCTATCCTAGGCTACACTGTACAAGGCCAGCAAGAACTACATAGAGAGGCCCTGTCTCCTGAATGAATAAATGAATGAATGAATGAATGAATGACGCTACTATATAGTTATTCTAAAAAAAAAAACAAAAAACAAAAAAAACCACCTCCAGAGCCAGGAATATAGCTGTGTGGTTCAGCCCCTGCCTAGCAAGGACAAGGCTCTGAGTTTGATTTCTGGTACTAAACACCCCACCCTAAATTAAGAGTGAAAAAATGCATTTATTTCTTTTCTTCTTTTTTTGTACCAGGAATCAAACTCATGACTTTGCACTGGCCAAGTAGACACTGTGCTGCTGAGCTACATCCTCAGCCCCACATTTCTATTTTGGCTTAAAATTCACTTTAAAAAACTAAAAAGAAGGGTTGATCAGATAGCTCAGCAGACTAAGGCACCTGCTTAGGCAGAGCACAGCAGCTAGGATTCAATCCCCGGTGCCCTGAGACTGGGCATGGGTGGCACATGCCTGTAATCCCAGTTCTTGGGAGGCTGAAATCAGCATGATCACTAGGAGAGTCTAATCTACGTAGTAAGACCCTGAACATCCTGTACTACATACATAAAAACAAATACTGAAAAGATAAGGAAACTAATGGCCTCATCTTATTTCCCTTCTCAAAAAGAGGAATGAAGGCAGGTATATGATATGTAAAGGAAATTTGTCACTTTGTAATTTTCTGTATGTTTTAATTTTTGAACCACACAAGTTTATTTTATTTATTTATTTAGTCTTTTTTGAGACAGGGTCTCACAATGTTGGCCTCAGGCTCCTGAGTGCTGGGATTACAGGCACACGCCACCATGCCTAACTATACCTTTTTTAAAAAAAAAAAATTTTATGTATTTGGTACAGTGTCTCACTACGCAGCTCAGACTTACTCGGACTCATAGTGATTGTCCTGTTTGAGTTTGCCCAGCACTGGGCTTACAGGTTTGTACACCACCACGTCTGTAGGGCCAGCACACGGCTCGCCTAGGCTGGCACTTGGAACCTATTATTTTTAAACAATAGATTCTAAAAGAGTCAAAAGAAGCCATTTATAAAATGTACTGCTATAGGAAAACACATTCATTTTCAGAATGATACTAAACGATAACTTCACTACTAACATACAGTCACATTTCCATCATTCTCCTAAAGTCAATATTACAATCTCAAAAGTACAAGTTCAGAAGAAACAAAAACAAAAACAAACTTACCCGGAGGCACTGGTGGAGGAAAGCCTGGAAACTGTGGGGGTGGGATTCCCGGTGGAAGTGCTGGGATTCCCATGGGAGGGCGATTCAAATGAGGGGGGAAAGACATTCTTACTGCAGCAGTCTAAAGAGAGAAGTCACGACAAGTTACTGTATTTGAAACCTTACTAATTTCATATGCCTACTGTTGACCTTCATTTTTAGAGTATCTGCAAAAGTCTAAAATTTTCTTACCCAAAGGAGTTGGCAAAGACCCTCTTTTCTCTGTCTGTCCATTCAGAATTTTTAAAACTTAGATCTTTTCTAAAATAAGCTCCCAAAATGTAGATCTAAATTCAGGATAGACTCCTACGATCATGTAGAAATACATATAAAGGAAAAAAAATTTTTGAGGTTCAGTTAATATCCAAAAATTAAATACCAAACATAAATGAATCTTTTTAAATCAAACTTACAATGTAAAAAGGTATCCAATAGTTTACTCTGTTTTTTGTTTGGTGCCATTCAGCACCCTACAGACTAAATTCCCAAGGCCTAAGATTATCTGACTCAGTGTTGTCCAGTCCTGAAGAACAAACGCATCAGTCAGCACCCCTACAAATCTGAGGCAATGGAGGACAGGAATTAACATCAGATCACATAATCACTCAACTATAAAGAGGACACACAACTTATGAAAATGAAAACGCATTTTTCTTACATGTAAAAGCAAATGTCTTAAGGATGGATACAGCCTATAATCCCAGCACTCTGGAGACTGAGAGAAGAAGGTAGCCACGGAGTTTGAGGTCAACCTGGACTACATAGTAAGATCCTGTCTAAAAACAAAAACAAAAAAAAAAAAAACCAGCCAAGAATGGTGGCACATGCCAGTAATCCCAGCACATGGGAGGCGTTGGCTACAAAGTGATCTCAAGGCCAGCCTGAACTACATAGTGAGATCCTATCTCAAAAAGCCCCAAAAAAAGGCCAACCTTTTATCCCCCAGTGCTGGGAACGGATCTTGGGCCCCCACACCAAACAGCTCCAGTCTCCCCAGTCACTGAGCCACCCAGTTGAAGCTCAACCTTGTCCTCCTGCCTTAGCCTCCAACAGTCTAGAATTACAGGTATGCACTACCACCTGGCTTGACCATTCTTACCAGATATTAGCCATTTGGGTTTTCAAAAAATTAAGAACATAACAGGCACGATTGCATACGCTTTTAATACCAGCACACAGGCAGCTGAGGCAGGAGGATGGTGAGTTTGAGGCAAGCCAGGCTACACAAGCAAGTTCAAGGCTAGCCTACTGTACCACACAGTAAGAACAGTCTCAAAAGAAAATAAAAAAGAAAAAACCATAACAAATCATAATGTCTCCTCTCTCAAAATCTTTTATTTCATGAACATATTTCAGCATCCATACCTATCGGAAAAAGAGGGAAAACAAGGTTAAGGTGTCCTAGAAGGGTTCTGGGCATCTTTTTTTTTTCCACCTATTTTTAAAAAGCAGCCAAAATAAGTTAAGTTCATCCCACATAAATCCATTAATATTAGTGGTTTGATAAACAAGAGGAATATATTTCTATTGACCATTAGGAAAAACTTTGGACCTATTAACTGCAATCCCTTCATAACTGAACCAGTCTAGAACTATTAAAATCTTTTAAAAATGTCTCCACTAGTTTCTCTTGTGTTTGTTTTACTCATCCTTCAGAAGAGAGATGGTGAAAAGTTTAAGTCTTCCACTTTCTTTCCCACTAACTCACTAACTCAACAGGCACACATTGTGTTTTCTACAGATCTTTGTAGGTACAAATTAATATATAATTTAAGCTTTTTACAAGTAATAATATTCTATTATTACCTCCATTATCACTGACACCTCATCAATTCAAAAAGCCCTATTTCAATCTTGGTAATGCAATAAATAAGTGTAACACAGATATCGAGTAATTATTCTACCACAAACAAATAATGCTCAACATTCTACAATATAATGTACACAAAACACTACGTACCTGTACAAGTACTTCTATAATACAAGTTAGTACTACGGCATGTGTATCCATACTTTACCTCCACATCAGCCCCCAAAACTATCATAGAAAGGCACATGTCTTTTTCTTATATCCTCACCAATGTTACAATAAACCAGCATTTAAATTTTAATAACAGGTTTAAAGAAAACTCATGCCAATTTCTATTTCTTTCATCACTAAAGAGGTTCAATATGTTTTTACCTGTTTATTAGACAGTTCTTTCCAAAAGAAAAGCGCATCCTTCATGCTCACAACTGTTCTTCCTCAGACTGTTCCCATGACTTAGTAAGATAGGATAATACAAAATCTTTAAAATCTAAACTTCAATGTCAAAAGCATAGTATACTTAAACTATTTAGAAAACCATATAGGTAAAGGGATCTCTGGGATGATCTATATATTCAACAAATAAGGCACTATTCTGTAAATGCTTTGAAATTTAGGTAGAAATTAAAGAGTATATTTATTACACAGGAAAAACACAAGCCACATATTTTTCACAAGCTAGGCGCATGCTTGTAATCCCATCACTTGGGAGGCTGAGGCAGGAGGATCATCCCCAGTTTGAGGCCAGCCTGGGCTACAGAGTTTAAGGCCAGCCTGGGCTACATAGTGAGACCCTGGCTCAAAAAAACAAAAAAAAACAAAAAAAAAAGAGAGAGAGAGAGAGAGAGAGAAAGACAAGACTGTAGGACTGTAAATTTGTTGAGTTTCTTAATTACCTTTTTGTAATATTTTCTGCCCCAAAACAAAAACAAATATTCTATATAAAAGGATGGTAGAGCATATATTTTCTTTTAAAACAGAGAACTACTACTGTCCTACTTACAGCTCTTGTGTTATTATAATACTCTACCTTAGCACTTTCTTAGGAGGGCAGTTCTTACATTACCTGTTGAATAAATAGATTAATTAATCAAACAGTAAATAAAATCTAAGGATGTCAATAGACAAATTTATTATGTAGCTATCATGTGTCAGGTACTATGTCAACAATAGACCACTGCTCCTTTCACAATGGTAACTAAATTCAAAATGGGGCCATGAATTCATTTTTAGAACTACTTTCTCCCATCAGTCTTAGATATGATACTCTAAGAATAAAGCTATATTCTTGGTATTTAAGATATATTTTATTGTTTTTAATGCTGATTTAACTAGATATGCTGGGCATAGTGTTGCATGCCTGTAGTCCTGGCACTCAGCAGGCTGAGACTAGAGGATTGCCAAGAGTTGGAGGCCAGCCTGAATTATAGAACAAGACCTCTCAAATAAAAAAAATTTTTTTAAAAGAACTAGATGTGTATTTAATTCATACCAATACATCCATTCTATTCATTTCTAATTTTTCTATGCAGTAACTTTATTTAGAGCTGCTCAGAACTTGGCTTGTTAATAGATTGGATCTCAAAAGTGAAAAAATATTGCAGTTAAGGGCTAAATTTTTTTAACTATTTATTTATTTATTTATTTTGGTACAGAGTCTCACTATGCAACTCAGACTCATAGTGATCCTCCTGTCGCAAGCCTCCCTAGCACTGAGGTTACAGGTTTTGGAGGCTGGCAAGGAATGTGGTACCAGGGATAGAACCTGGGTCCTTGCGCTCACCAGGCAGGCACTTCAACCGCCAAAATATCTCCCCAGCCCTTAAGGGCTAAATTTCAAGATTTATTTTTTTAAAAAATAAGTCTTTCTGGTGATCTTGAACAAACACTAATGTTCACTTTAAACATTACGTACCAGCTACATATTTCAACAGTTTTATGTTTTGCTATGTAAAATGATTAGGTATAAACTCTTAAAATCATTAAAGTTTAGCAGCTGCTACTTCAGATCTGATTTGTAACAATCTCATACCTACATTGAAAGTTGGTAGGTAGAACCAAGAGTGGTGGCACACACCTGTAATCCTAGCACTTGGGAGGTTTGGGGCAGGAGGATCGTTGCAAGTTCAAGATCAGCCTGAGCTACAAAGTGAGCTCAAGGTCATCCTGAACTGCATATTGAGACCCTGCCTCAAAAAGGCCAAAAAGAAAAAAAAGTTGGTGGGCATTCTGTAAAAGAGCTGGGGAGTGGTACATTTCAAATCCAGAGAGTGGGCCTCACAAAGATGGGGAAGATTTGAACAAATATTTGAAAGAGGACAAGCAGGAAGCATTATTCACATTATGGTGTGGGGAAGTCTTCCAAGCAAAGAAATGGAAAATACAAAAAAAATGCCTGAGGTAGGCATGGTAGTTAAGCAAGAAACATGAAGTTTAACAGTCTATAGCTGGGTAAATAGGAAAATCAGGAACTGGGTGCAGTTACACAGCCTATAATATCAGCACTCTGAAAGGCCAAAGCAGTAGCAATGCCACATTCTAGGCAACTCAGTGTCATCATATTTCAAAGGCAACTCAATGTCACATTTCAAAATAACATCAAAGAAAAGGCTGGAGGCTAGATGTGATAGCAAGTCCCAACACTTGAGATGCTAAGACAGGAGGATTACTGAGAGTTTGAGGCTAGCCTGGGCTAAAAAGTGAGTTCAAGGCCAGCCTGAACTGCACAGTGAAACCTTGCCTCAAAAGGACCCCCCCCAAAAAAGGAGTTGTATGTAGTTCTGTGCATAGGCCCTGGTCCAGTGTTGGGTTGAGGGGGGCTGATTATGAAATCAAGAGACAAATACTATTACTCAGGGAGGAGGTTCAGAGAACATAGCCTTGGCAAAACACTGAAACTTACTGGTTGGTTTATTACTCTGAATGAGATGGAAAACATTTGAAAACTTGTTGACCTGGCTTATATTTTAACAGTAGCACTGGCCACTAAAAGGAACTGGGCATGGTGGTGCACACCTATAATTCCAGCACTGGGTAGGCTGAGGCAGGAGTTCACGGCCAGCCTAAGATGCACAATGAGTTTTAGGACAACCTGAACAGTTCATGAACTTAATTTGTGTGGGAAAGATGGCCACTGTGATATTTATAACCCCATGCAATTTGCAAAAACACAAATTTTTGCCAAGTGCTTCTGTTGAGATCCAACTTGTTTGCAAAACAAAAACATTTGTGAACCAAGACAGCACTGTACATAACTAAACCCTGTCAAAAAAAAAAAAAAAAAAAAAGAAGAAGAAACGAACGGAAGGAAGGAGACAACAATCTAATGATACTATGGCTAGCGAATGGTAACAAGTTGTTGGACTCTGCATTATTTTGTAGACAACCAACAGGACTTGCTAAGGGATTGGTGAATTTAAGAAAAAAGTTATTAGTATGAAATAATTTAAGTAGTTAGTTTAAAATAGTCTAACTTTCAGATGGTAAGTAATAAAGAAAACACTAAGCATGAAACTTCACAGCATGAAATAACAGAAACAAGCATTGACAATAAAATGCTCCCAATCTTTATAGGTGATAATATATAAACATCACAAAACTAACAAACTAAAATGGATACTTTATTGTAATTTTTAACCTCAATATATAAAAATTTAATATTTATCTATCTTATTCAACACCATGTACTTTTTCATTTTTTTTCTCTTTATCCTTTCTAAACATTCTTTTTTGACAATTCTGAGAATACTGTAAGTATATAAAATACCATGAAAAATTGCTTATAAATATTCTTCTGTTGCAGGAATATCCAGACAGAAACAAAGTATTTCACCAGGGACTCATTTACACATTAGCTCTTTCAGGACACTGTACACTAAAATGTCGAAAATATTCACAAGCATCAGGGGCATGTGGCATAACCTGTAAGCCGAGCACCCAGGAGGCACAGGCAGGAGTACCCCAAGACAGCCTGAACTACAGAGCCAGATCCCACCTCAAAAAACTATTTCTCTAAGTATTATTTGTATTAGCTTTCCATTAAAGAATAAAATGTATGCACTATACAAAGTTTAACAACAGCTAGTCTAATGGTTCTACAGCCAATACCAGTGACTATCAATATGATACACAGTTTCCTGCCCTGCTTATAGCCTGCATGGTACAATGGAGGCTTGACATAATCGCCTAAGCAAAGTGTGTCCTTTAATATCCTATATCACAATTAAATTTCCATGAGACTGGAGTCCAAAGGAATTATTCCTAAGGAGAAAAAAATGTGTTCAATGCTAAAGAATATAAAATGTTTAACAAAAAAAATATTTTACAGCAAGACTTTTCATTTCAAGGACGTGAAAATACTCAGCAGGCTAGCGGTAATACAGTTCAGTGGTAGAAGCTGCACGCTCTGACTCTTTTTTGAAGAAAAAAAGATAAAAGAGAAATGTTCAAGTTTTTTTTTTTTAATCTTTTATTTATTTCGTAAAGGGTCTCGCTACACAGCTCCAACTTATAGTGATCCTCCTGTCTCAGCCTCCCCAGTGCTGGGATTACAGACATGTGCCACCATGACATTCATTTCAGGCAGCCAGGCTACAGCCAGCACAGCACGTGGAACCAGGGGTCCAACCCAGGTCTTGTGCTTGCCAGACAGGCACTTAGACTGCGAACTATCTCCCCAGCCTGTGTTCAAGTGTTTTGAATCTTCAAAAATAAAGAACTAATCTTTTTCTGTATTTGGTACAGGGTCTCATTACATAGCTCAGACTTGCAGTGATCCCGTTTTCAGCCTCCCTAGCACTTGGATTATAGCTGTACGCCACCACATCCAGTCTCGGTGGTTGGCTTTGCATGCCCAAGGACATGGTTAACGTAGGATGTGGTGCAACTGATTGAACACTGGTTTTTTTTTTTTTGGGGGGGGGTATTTTTTGGCAGAACTGGGGATTGAACTCAGGCCCTTGTGCCTGCCAGGAAAGCGCTTATTCTACTGAGCTAACTCCCTGGCCCTGAACACTGGTTCTGATCCAACGCTGGTCCCTGCGCTTGCGTAAGCAGGCACTTAGTTCACTGAGCTATCTCACTGGCCAGGAAACTGATCTTTTTCCAAGAGATTTCTACTTCATTATTTTTCCATTTTCAAAGATTAAAAAGCAATACTACATATACCTAAACATTAGTGGCTGCCACAAACTGAAGTAAAATAGAGATCCTGGTGGGGTAATGGTTGCACAACTCTATACATTTACTAAAAATAACTGAATTATCTGTCAATTACACTTTCATAAAGCAATTTTTAAAAAATCAACTTAGGAAAACTGGCAAAACCCTTGACCTAATAACTAGACAATATTTTATCAATGTTTCTTGACTTTGATCATCACACTAAGAAAAACTTCCTAATTGTTAGAAAGTCCACCTTAGCATTTATGGTTTAAGGGGCAACATATCTACAACA